GAGGCACACCACCTCACATCTCCATTTTGAGCAATGTGACGTTGAACCTGCTCAAGGTGGTACTTCGGAGCGCGGTTGTCGAGTGGGCTGTGAAACTCCTGTAACGGCCTATTTTATCCGCCGGCGTTGTAATTCCAGATATTTTCATGGGTTGCGATTTTTATTATTGTTGTTTTTTAAGTAGGTGTGTAGCAGAAGTAGGGGAAGTGGGGGGCTCGGGACGAGAAAGGTTACAGCTACACAGTGCCCACTCACAAGTGCGGTGCGGAGGGGGCCGTCAAAGCCGGGGGGGGCCCCATGGACCCCGCTGGTGAAAAGGACTTAGGGTTTTTCAGGGTTTTGACTCTCCCTCCTGGCGGCTGTCTGTCTAGTGGCGGCAAGCGGTTTTCTTCTCAGCCCTGCAGGGTTCCGGCCACGTCGGGGCCCACAGGGCCCTTTCGTCTACCTGTTTGTCCGTCTGTCTGTCTGTCATCTCATCCTTTTAGTTTTCACCGTTAGGATGCCGTTAGGGAAAAGCCATCGAAGGGTTACCCGTACCCGTGCCACAAACACTTCTTCCTCCCCTTCCCCCCTTCTTTCCCCCCTTCCCCCCTTCCCCCCTTCTTTCCCGCGCGTGTCAGGGCGCCATTGTGTATTGCGACCGCATCACCACCGTCAGCCCCACCTACGCGCGGGAGGTGCTCCGAGACGAGCCCCACCTGGGTTGCGGGCTGCAGGCGGTGATGAGGAGGCACACACACAAGCTGGAGGGGGTGCTGAACGGCCTGGACTACGAGGTGGGGGTGGGGGGAGGGGGGAGGTTCACGTGTGTGGGACCTGGGGGGGGAAGTGGGGGGGACCTGGGGGAGAAGGAAATGGGGATGGATAGGATGTGGGAGCATGACCAGGCCTCTCCGGGGTTTGGTGCATCTTGTCATGTGCGTATCTCCTCCCCCCCCACGCTTTAACCCCCCACCCTTTACCATACACACATTTTACATACACACATTCGCGTGTGGGTTTGTAAACCTTTGTTTCTCCCCGTTCCGCTCCCCACCCCCCGTCCCCCCCGGGTATGTTGTTACGACATGTTGTACGACGCAGACGTGGAACCCCGCCACTGACCCGTACATATCCGCACACTATGCCCCGGATGATATCTCGGGGAAGCGCACCTGCAAAGCCGCGCTCTGCAAGGAGCTTGGCCTTCCGTTTGACGGAATAACCACCAACGGTAACAACGGAAATAACAACGGCAATGCAAACGCCAACCATCATCATCACGATACTGCGCACAACGGACATGACAATAATGGAAACAGCAGCAACGGACATGGTTGTTGGGGTCCTAACGGCCGGCCGTTGGTGGCGGTTGTGAGTCGGTTAACGGAGCAAAAAGGGCTTCATTTGATATCCGCGGGTTTGAGGGCGGCGGTGGAGGCGGGGGCGCAGGTGGTTGTGCTGGGCAGCGCACCCGACCCCAAGGTAACGCTGTGTGGGTGGGGGGGGAGGGTGGCGACTTGTGTGTATGTATGTTCGTATGTCTGTCGACTCGGTTCGAGCGTTTTTTTCGTTAGCAGCGCTAGCAGCGCGAGCATGACCCCACTTCCCCTTGTCGTACTCCTGATCCTTTCTCCTCCCTCTGAGGGGGGGGAGGAGGCGGGTGGTGTTTTGAAGTGTATGCGGGCTCGGTCGGGTTGGGTAGTCCCAACCCACAACCCACTTCTTACGACTGGGATTCCGTTTTCCAGAATAATCTCCGTACATGTACGGCACATATACGGCATGCGGTTTCTCTCCCTGCTACTCCGCCAAGGTGCATAGGCAAGCGTTATGAAGTTTGAATGTCTGTATGTTTGTACGACACGACTTTGTGTACGACTGTATGCACGTACGAACATAGATATGTGCACACGTAGGTTCAGCGGGAGTGGGAGGCCCTGTCCCGGGAAGTGGCGGCTGGAAGTGACGTACGTGTCGTACTACGGCACGACGATGCGCTGAGTCATCGCATATTTGCGGGTGCGGATCTGCTCCTGGTGCCGTCTTTGTTCGAGCCGTGCGGACTCACGCAGGTCCGGGGGATTTGGGGGAGGGGGGTGAGGGTGAGGGGGGTGAGTGAGGGGGGGAGAGAGGAAGGAAGGGCATATGTGCGTTAGCGGAGAGGGGTGTGCGGCGGGTGAGGAGGAAGAGGAGGACCCAAACTCTCTCCCTCCCCCTCCCCCTCCCCCTCCCCCTTCCCTTCCCCTGCACGGGCACCACCTGGCCTCACCCATTCCCGGGGGCAAATGAATATCGGCAACGTAATGGGCGTTACTTCCCAAACCACGGATCGATGACGTCATCGCTCACTAGGGACTCACTAGGGGCAGTTTCGGACTTTGGACGCCTTCCGGCAGTTAGTTCATTTCTGGGTTTCGTGTGTCATATGATTTCCCCCCTTTTCCCCTTCCCTTTCCCGCCAGCTCATCGCCCTACGGTACGGGACCGTACCAGTTGTACGGGAGACGGGGGGCCTTGCCGATACGATACGCGACGTGGCGCACTCGGGGGCTCCGGAACCCGAACGTAACGGCTTCACGTTTGTGGCTCCGGAGGAGACGGCGGTGACGACCGCGTTGCGGCGAGCTATTGCGGCATACAGGTAGGTCCTACATATGTATGTATGTATATATATGGGAAAACTGTAGTATGATTGTGTGTATGTGTTTCTGTGTTGTGGTGCATGTGTATGTATGTATGTATGTCTTGCACCTGAACTCTCCAAACCGCAACCCCCCGCCCCGCCCCCGCGCCCCCGCCCCCGTTCAGGGACGGTCGCGAGTGGTGGGCGACCGAGCTGGTGCCGCGGGTCATGCGTCAGGACTGGAGCTGGTCCCAGTCCGCCGAGCGGTACCGGGACATTTACAACACCGCAATCGGGCTGTGAGGCAGTCGGGCGGACAGGCACCTGCCACGCCGAAGTATCTATCGAACACCGTATATTCATCCGTCTCCATTCTAATGATAGTGTATAGACGATCTATTTGTCTGTTTAGTCTGGTGAAAAAAGGGGGGGTGTTTGAAGCTGTAGCAAATTAGTCGGTGGTCTGGATTGAATGCCCCACCTTATGAAGATGGAGATGGAGGAGAGGGGAGAGGGGGAGGGGAGAGGGGGAGGAGAGAGGGGGAGGGGAGAGGGGGAGGGGAGAGGGGGAGGGGAGAGGGACCGGGGGATTTGCGAATGTGGGGTCGTTCGGAATTCTGCGGTCGGAAGGCAGGCAGGCAGCGGCAGGGGGGGCGTTGAAATGCGTCGGAAGAACCTCAGCAGTGTCAGTGTCGCGTCTTGAGGACATGTGGACCCTTATTACTATTGTTGTTACTATTATTATTGTTTGGGCTAGCATGATGGTGAAGATAACCCTGAGATTAGAGATGTGGTAGCGAGGTAATTTGGATGGATGCTTGGGATTAGTCTGTGTGCGCGTGTATGTGTGTGTATTTGCATGTATGTGTGTGCATTGGTGTCTTATGTATGTATGTATGTGCGAGGAAGCAAGGGAAATATATTTTAGCAGAGAAAATAGGGAAAGCGAGCGGAAAGAGAAAGAGATGGGGTGTGGGAGTCTTTTACTTTGGTTGTTTGTCATGAGAGGCGGAAAGCTACAGTCGTTATTGTTTGTCATGGAATTCGGATTTGGACGTGGATTTGGATGTGGATCACAGCGGTGCGCGGGAGCGTGGAGTGTGTGGAAGTATTCTTTGGCGGGATTGCGCCAGAGGCACGTGACCAGGAGGCCGCGGCGAACAAGACAAATTACTTTTAAACGCTGGTAGTGTCTGCCTAGCTCTGTTGTCTGTTTCTTTATGGAGTGGGCGGCGCCAGCTTTAATATTAATGGTAGCGTGATGTGAGGTGATGGTAGTGTGTGCTGGCAGAGTGCGATTTTTTTCTTTTCATGAGTAAATACTTCTTTTGTGGTGATATTATTCGTACAATGTAGTACTAGCAGTACTAGCATAGTTGTAATCATGGTGCGTGTTTGTTTAGCGTACAGGGCGTGCACACGTGCCCGCGGATTGTATGTATGTATGTATGTATGTACGTGTCATCACGTTTTTGTGTCCTGACCGTCCCCCGTTTCCTATCCTAAGCGTTCTTCCAGTCTAGTAAGTAGCTCCTGCGCAATAAACGTTTGTCTGTATGTGTTTGTTATCTGGGACGGTCTGCACATTGCAGTCCATCTGCTACTGCTACTACTAGTGGTGCTATACTGGTATGCTTCAGCTGCTGCTGTCTGTACTGCTTCAGCGGCCTGCGCCGTGTCGCGTCGTGTCGTCCTATGATGGTGTGGATGCGAGTACGGGCTGGCGAGGATCAAGCCCTTAGACGTATGTCGTACGTATGTGGCTCTTTGAAAGAACGATTGCCCACCTCTGTTCGGTGTTTAAAACGAGTTCAGACACACACTCGGTGGTGGCCGTGGTCTACATCGATGTGCTGTGCCGAGATGGTCTCCAAGATGGTCTCTCTCATGCCAAGATGGTCTCCCCTTCGCTTTTGTGAGAAGAAGAAAGAGACGCAGAACTGGCTCTGTGTGAATGTCCGATGATAGGTGTACATAATATAGAGGGGGGATGGAACAAAAAGACCTATGAAAATAGAAGGCCGTCATCTCGCGCCGAAAGGTCAACCATAAGCGCGTGTGTGTGTGTGTGTGTGTGTGTGTGTGTGTTACGCGGGACGAGCGTACTGTCGATTTATGCCTCAACCCCGGCCTGCCCGAGACGTAATAATTGTTACATGTAAAAGTTTAGGAAAGGGAAAAGAAAAAACATTATCACTGCTCTCAGGAAAACCGGAATTACGCATCTAACCTCGTTTATCTGTGGGGCCCTCTGGCCGCCATACCCGTCCGCATTTTACCTGGGGTTTGACTGCTGAGCTATTAGACCGAACTGCGTTCTGCGTTCTGCACTAATGACTTGCTCGTCGAGAGTTTCACCCAACCATATTGCGCTTATTCCCACCAGCAGCCGACCCGCCCGCACGGCCCCATATGGACGACGCATCAGCTCGTCGCCCGGCAGGCAGTCAGGAAGTGGCGGCTGACAAAATGCGAATACGTCGTCTCCTAAATTACTCTAAATTATTACTACGGCCCCATGCGGCCAAGAGCACTACCAGGGAGTTAGACGGCTTCTGGGAGCCCAGGCACCTAATGAGGTGCAGCCGCCCTTCTAGCACGCTCGTACCCCAGAATACACACACACATACACACACTAAGTAGGTATGTATGTACACGAACGAGGCTGAGTAATGTAGATGAGCCCGTCCATCCACCCACCCCTCTCGCTGTCCTATCTGCATGTCACCCAGATTCCCTTTATCTCACTAGACAGTTAGTTCGTTAGTTGTTTCCTTTGGCCCCCGCGTATATCACACTCAAGGCACCCGGATGGCTCTGGAGACCATGGCAGGGAAACACCCCTAGACACTACACCAGATGTGTACGGAAGTACATCAGGATATGTACGGCATGCCACGCAGGCCATTTCTTCTCAGGCGGTATGTGAGGGGCAGTGCGGGATGCGTCTGTATGTATGTAGTCCTGATGCATGTCGCACCCAGATCATCTTTGCATGTCAAGCAGTCATCCAGCTGAAGAGGGCTGGGCCTTGCTGCCGCTGTTGTCGCAGTTGGTCGTTGGTGACAGTTTAACTGTCCGTCTTTTCCATGTTGAGGTCACCGCACTCTCTCCGGAAGCAAGTTAAGGGTCCGGACCCTTTCCATGACGTGGCCAGCTTGCCAGTCCGCCACGCGACCGTCGTCCTGAATGAATTGACGGCCGTACATGTACGGAATTGCGGAGGTGAGCTAGCGGGTAATGGGTATGGCGAGGGGTACCTGTCAGAGCAGGGAGTGGCAGCTTCCTCCCTCCCTACCTCCCGCCCTACCTATCTAAATACCTATCTACTTACCTTGATACATACATACATTACATACATACATACATACACCCCTTGTAAACCCGCCTCTTCTCTTCCCCTCCCCCTCCCCTCTACCTCCAGAAAGCACACCTGCGACTTGAGCCAATCCACCACAGGTACAAGCTCCAACTGCCGTACACCACCACCACCAGCATCACCATTGCCACGCCGTTCACCCGGTGTGAATCTCTGCAGGTTCGCGTACTGCTGCAGCAGCAGCACCCAGTAACACTCGATTGCCTCTCTGTTGAGGAACTGACGAGCGAACTGCTGTCCACGTACGGCAATAGCACGTGCGGCGGCGTCGTTGGCGGTTACCCAGTTGTACGCCCAAACCACCTCCCGGGGGCGATTGCTCCAAAACGGTACGTAGTGGTGAAACCTGCAGTGGGGGTATTCGACAGGCGGAGGAGTTGGACAGGGGGAGATGAGGGGGGAGATGAGGGGGGAGATGGGGGGGGAGATGGGGGGGAGATGGGGGGGGAGATGGGGGGGGAGATGAGGGGGGAGATGAGGGGGGAGATGAGGGGGTGAAGGTATGGAGAGATGTGGAAGTTGCCAGCCCTTGAAAGTTCTCAAAGAGTGGAGACCCTAAGACGCCTGCTCGCGACGCTGACACGAGGGTTTGCTTCCCATGGGGGGGAGAGGGGGGAGGAGGGAGGGGGGTTACGAGTCGTAACTTACGACAGTTTCCTCCGGATTCAGTTGGAGAAGGGCTGCTTAGGGGCATGGAGGACTGTCTGGGCTGACCGGGGGTTCCCGCCAAGCTCCCCCAGCGGTGCAATTTGAAATCCGGTTCGAGTCCCAACACAGCTCAGCTCAGCTCGTCCCAACTCACTTTTTCATCAGTTTGTCGTAGAACGCGAAATACCCGGATTGCTCCCGGAGTACGACACTGCCCAGAGCTAGCAACTGGAAGATCCTGGACGAGCATGTGATGCCTTTAGGAAGAGGGGAGACGGGGGCTCGGGTTGATGCAGACAGACAGACAGACAGACAGACAGACAGAGAGACAGACAGACAGACCATCAACACCATCACCAGACTCATCTCTACAACCCCAGGATCCCAAACCTCCGAAACCCACGAGGGGGGGGACGGGGGGAGCTGTTGGGTGTTGGGCTCGGGGATTCTGAAACATCGTACTCCAGTTCTTGGTCCTCAAGGCCCCCCCCCGCCAGGTAAGAGTCCTCCCACAAGTTACCCCACTCCCAACCAAGGAAAACCCCAACCCCCCTTCACGCCCCCAAGCCCCCAGCGCCCACCGTCAACGTGCATGACCATTTTGTACCGCGCCCACTGCTCTAGGGGTACGACATCGTGGCTGTACGAGATGTTGGTGTGCTGCAGCTCCTGGGCCAGGTATGTGCTGAACGCTTCTCGGACCCTTTCAACCTTTGCCGCATATTTCCCGGCGGCGGCGGCGGCAGAGCAGGGGGAGCAGGGGGGTTGGTACGGGGAAGGGGAGGTACGGCGAGAAAACACACGGGATATACATATGGATATTAACATCAACCATGTGATCCAACCAATCCGCCAAACACCCACCCACCCACCCAGCCCCACCTGCACCCGGGCTCAGACCCGAAAACCAGTATCTCCCATTTCCCACACACGACTCACATACATTAATACACACAGACACTCACCACCTCCCCCCTTCGGGCACCATCCCATTGTCGTACAGTGCTATGGACGCTCTGCGGGGCAACAAACACCCAACATAAAGCCCGGCGGGGTCGCAGGTGATCAGTTACATACATACAGGCGGCTGACATACATACATACATACAGGCGGCTGGCAGAGGTTTAGGCCTGACTTCTGCTCCCGGCCGACCCAGGTTCAAATCCGCCTACCGGCTCCTCGGGTGTTTGAGGAGTAATGAAATGGGAGGTGGCCCCCCATCATATGGACGATGTAGGACGTGATATAAACAACTTGCGAGCTAACCAGTTGATGCGCCGTTGATCCACTAGATTTGGTTGGATGATGGTTGTGAGTTTCCGAACCAATCAAATACATTCTGAAGTCGGATGGGGTGACGGATTAGGGTGCCCCTCTAGCAGGGGAGAGCAGGGACTGCCCCGGGAAGGAGGCCGCTGGCGAAGTTAACCACCCTGTAATTGAGACATACATACATACAAAGGATATATTCGTCCTATACTACACAACTCATTTCAAGTAGTTCGGTAGCCGTCAGTTGTGTGGTTAAGTTGTTAAGTTAATGTGCAGGAAATGCCCCTTGCGAGCCCCTCCCAGCTCGCAGCTCAGCAGCACCACCCACCCACCCCACCACCCCGCCCACCTGGTCGCGGTGGTACCCCACCCCGGCCGCAAAGGCCTTCCCCTCCTTCTCCCCCCAGGGGTGGTGCCGGTTGAACCTCTCAATCTCGCCCAGAAACCAGTCGTCGATGTTCATGGTGTAAAAGTGGAAGATCGGGACCTGAAAACCGTAAAAGACCGAAACAAAAAAATATCATATTACCAAAACATAAATGTATACACGAAGTATTAAACACAAAGAAAATGCCTTAAAAACATGGAGAGATATGTGATGCTCAACTAGTTTTCATGCGAAGACTACGTTACAAACAAGTACCTGCACGCAAGGAAAGAACGTCTTCGTGAAAGGGTAGGGCCGGGAGAGGGCACACTACCACGAAGCGGATCACCAAGGCCTACAGACCAACCGCTTCACGGCAGCACCCAAACGTAGCTACGAACAACCCGAATTAGCCAACACTGTCGCGTGCCGCGACACAAGAGCCACACTGGCTCGTACGCCATACGGCAAAGACACTCCGTATTCGCAGAAAACCTTAGTTTTCAACGCTTCACGTAGAAAACTGTCAGTTATTACATATTAGCTGCACACCAAAGCATACCTTCCCGCTTCTAGGTGCGGGGTGGTGGAGGTGGTGTTAACTAAGGGGGGAAGTGGGGGGGATGGAGGAGGCGTTTCCTAAGTCCGCAACTCCCCGCATGTGTTTTGAGGTGGCTGCCAGGCTATCGGGGGTAACCCCCCTCCCTCCCCACACCCAAACACACACGACGCACCGCAATGGCCACACTGGAGGACGCCTTGCAGTGCCGCATCACGGGCAGTCGGCCATGACGAGGCCCCTCATCCCACACACCGCCCTCCGCGTCCTCCGGCTCCGGAACCACCTGGCCCCCACCTTCTTCCTCCCCCTCCTCTCCGCCGGCTGTGTTACCCGCCCGGCAGATGCTCTTGATGGTGGGTCCAAAGTCTATCGCGGGCGCGTCCATAGTCTCAACCACAAACTCCACGTCAGGCAGTGCCGTACCCCAGCGGGAAACCAGCCGGGAGAGGGCCTTGTACGGCAAAACATGGATTGGGAGAAGGAAGGCGGCGGGGGGAAAGAAAGGGTGACGGCAGCAGCGGAGGGGTTTTCAGGTTTTCCCCGGATTTTTGGAGACAAGAAGGAAGTTAGGTATAGGTTTACGTAGGTAGGAGCCTGTCGGTCTGTCGGTCTGTCTAGGGGGACCGAGGCGGAGGGGAGGGGGTCTTGGAGAAAGGCCAATGACGCAACCGGGGCCCCCCCCACACACATCACGCCCATCCGCAAAACACGCACCCACGCATACACCACGATGTTGTCTGCTTGCCAGGGGAAGAGGCGTGAAATGTCTTGCTGGCTGCCGCCAATGACGTACAACTTCCCGCCGCGGATGCATAGGGGGAGGCCCGGTACGGCAGCGGACATGGTGCGTTCCCGAAGTGTGCGGTCCATGAGGGTTTCGGAGATGCCTTCATCGTCGTACCACGGCAGCAGTTCCTCCGCAATGCCTGGATTGAAGGCGGAAAACCGACTGCAATGGGCCCCCAGATCGGAGGAGCTGTTGGATGGGGAGGTGGCGTCGGCAGCGGATGCTGGGAGGAGGACATGGAGGAGGGGGAGCAGGACGTGGAGAAGGAGGAGAGAGCGCCATCGTGCCATGGCGGTAAAACTCAGAACGACGAGAGGCTGGCAGGATCTTTTCCGAGGTTGTGTTTAACTTGGGAGATATATTAAAAAGGTGGTCCTTCAAGGCATGCTGCGGGCCAGCGCATGCCTTGAACATGCCTGCAAATGTTCGACCATCCTAGCAAAAAAACATATACTTGCAAGCGCAACGTCCAGGTTGAGTCAAGGCTAGCTCCGGAGGATTACATGACTCATAGATTGCTACGACACAATGGCAATTGTTGTTGGAAGTATTATCATAATTGTAATTTTCACTGCCATAACACTACTTGTGCCAAGCACAATTACCAAGGTTTGTTTCACAACGTTGAAATCCGGACCAAGGCTCAGATTTTAACCTGTCCTCATATGGAAGTAGTGAATCTTCAGCGAACACTTTAGAGGACGTTGTGATGTGCGAAGCCAATAATAACTTTGTTGCGGGACACAAATATGAGCCGATGTGAAGAACATGCTCGAACCCAATGCCGCTGCAAAGTACCATTTCCCATTTCAAGCAGCAAATAAAAATGCAAAGTCATTGAAGGAGGGGAATCCTTAAAGCTGGAGACCTTGAGCACCGTTTCTGCAATGGTCCGTGTTGTGCTGCATTGCATCGAAATGTGAGTCGGACTTCTGATCCGGAGCCTATCCCAGCCTATCCCAACTGGGTACCGCTGCTCCTCCCGGGGGGCCGTGTGCAGTCAGGATGGACTGGCTTCATCATCCATAAGTTCAATCGCCGCATCGGACAGAAGGCCATACACCGCCGCTCATCATTCCGCTGGTTCGGAAAGAGCACCTGGCAAACCCCAACAGATAGCCCAACATACCACCAAGAAGGGAAACGGTGAGTCCGCAGTGGCTCAGGGCAAACGGCAACGTGATTCCCCACACACGCACCCGAACAGACATACACCAAATGGCTTCATCCCCTCCACCCCCCTCTCTTTTGCCCAAATGTCTTGCAGCGGATGTTTTTGTTGCCTGAACAAACTCTGTACATATAAGTGGGTGTTCGGGGTGGTCGAAACTGCTGTTGTTGATGAAACGAGTGGCCTTTTTTTGTGAACGGAACGTATATTCATAATGGGCCCTGACTTGCTACGGTCTGAGGCACAAATCAGGTTGTGCCTGTGGGTGTGCGGCCTGTGCTCAATGTTGTCCGCGGAGGGCTTGACGTGAATACGGAAGAGGTGTCGGTGGCTTTGTCAGGGCCGTCATAATTTACTTTGGTCATGCGTGAGCGGCTGCCATGTTATGACGTGCAGGGTTTTGCAATCGCAATGCACTACTACAGGAGCTCAGTTTAGAGACTGCGATGCATTTACCAAGAAATTTAAGTTTTGCGTTTTCAGAGTTTTCACCAGCATGTGAAATCAAATTATATCCAATACTTTGTAATGCAGGAGTCGCCCTAAATTGCCATAAAGCCTGAGACGCATCAGGTGTACGGCCCCTATTTGGAACTGGATCTTTTTGGCAAGTTATTCAGTTTTACGTATCGTAGAGTGCGAAAGTATCGGATCTGACAGTTGCCAGATGTATGGACACATAAGAACGGCCTCCTGCCTTCTGGCGTGCGTCGCGAGGGTGCCCAGCCACGTCGCGAGCAGGTCCGTCGTGTGAGATTTATTATCTTGGCAAGATAAAGAATATAAAGTTATCAAAAACGATGCTGAGTAATCCAGGTATGAATTCTCTTCTCTCGCAGGCATGGCTGGGAGCATGTGTGCCTTTCTGCCGAGGCGAGCTGTGCGCCAGCAGACGAGGCACCCGAAGATGTCTTCCAGCTGTCCAACGGACGTGAGATGGTACCTCTAGGCTCCCTTCGCAGCTTCTGGTCTCACAGGACGGGGTTCTGGTCGCCATGTCTTCCATCTCAGAATTGCTATCATCATTATCATCAGCAGCAGCTGGCGTCCTTCGCTTCGAAAGGTGGTAAATATGCACATGGTGGCACATGGCACACAGCTTTAGGGGACGGAGGAGCAGCGCGAGGAGGAGGAGGGCCAATAGAACAAATCATGGGGAGGGCAGGACAATTGCCAAAGCAATATTAGCCTTATCGTTACGACGTTAAGGAACTCTGGGGGGGAGCACCTGCGCGGGCCTACACGTAACACGAACTTTCCTTTGCGGATGGCGAACGAAGGCAAATGCCATAAGCCCTCCTCCCCCGTGGGCCCTCCTCTCTTCCTCCCCTCCTCCTCCTCTGCCGTTGGCGGTTGGCCGTTGGTCATTGGCCGTTGCCACAGCTGGTGGAGGTTCCAAGCACCGGGGGGCCGGGCGAGACAAGGGGGCTGCGGCCGTGGGGGAGGAGGCGCCCCTGGAGTTTGACTTGGCGCCATTTGTCAGGTAAAGGCAGGTCGCTGAAGGGGGGGGGGGGTCACAAGGACGACGGAGAGTGAGAGCTGAGTGACCAAACACACACAAACACAAACACACGTGCCCATCGCGTCTCGCTTTTTTCCCAAACCACTGCCCTGCCCTGCCCTCTTACCCGCCCAACCCCCCTCCACACTCCCCAAAAAGCCAAATGCGGTCCGCCCTGGAGCACTACCAAAAGGAGTTGGCGGGTATTCGTACAGGTCGGGCGTCCCCAGGCCTGCTGGAGGGGGTGATGGTGGGGGAGAGCAGTCACGGAAAACACGTACCTGTACGGGCACTGGGGACCGTCGTGGTGCGAAACCCACATCTGCTCGTGGTAGAGGTGTACAACCCGCAGGTATGTACGGCATGGTACGACATACACGAAATGATACGTTTCGGTGCCTGGTTTGTACGATATTCATTGCTCCCCGGGACTATACACTGTATCGTACACCCTGGAAGGCGTACAGACGGGGTGAAACGGTTAGTATTTCTCCTCATCCCCCGTCCCTCCCAAGAGCCCAACCCCTGGCACCTCTCCCTCCCTCCAACCCAACCCCTCACTCACTCTCCCCCAACCCGACCCCTCACTCACTCTCCCCCAACCCAACCCCTCAGGATGCTCAGCCGTTGGCTGAAGCCATTCAGAGCTCGCCCCTCAAACTGCAGGTGCGTGTGTATGTGGGGGTGGAAGGGGAGGAGGGTAGGGGAATCGCGCATGCGTGTGTGTGTGTATGCAATTGCCTGTGTAGGGGGCCCGAGGCGAGGCCAGGCGGGCGGCTCGGGCGTTCTGTCGGTCTGTATGTAAGTCGGTCGGTCGGTTGGGAGATTATACACCCCGAGGAGGGTGTTCTCCCCTAGATTTCCAACCCGCTTCATGCGTGTGGTGTTTCTCCGCCCCCGATCTCCCCCTCCCCCCCCCGCCCTCCTCCGCCTCAGGCCCGAGTGGAGGGTCTCGAAGTGCTTGTGGAGGTACCCAGGTATGTATGTATGTGCGTATGTATGTATGATGGATGGATGGATGGATGGATGAACACCGAACGCCAAAGTCCCCTCCCCACACACACACTCCGAAACCCCCCGGCCCTCCCTCCCCGCCTGTTCCCCCCCTCCCCCCCTTTGGAGACTGACTATGGACATGGTCGAGCGCATGGTGCGACTGGCCGGTCAGGAGGCGGAGGCAGCTAGGGCCGAGGTACGACGAGCCCGGCATAAGGCCCTGGATCTGGCCAAGCGAGTGGCGGCGGGAGGGGGAGTGAGTAAGGAGGAGACGAAGAGGCGGGAGGTGCAGGTGCGCGTGGGGGGTTGAGGAGCGGAGTATGTACGGGGGTCGTGTGATTGTCGTACGGATTTAAATGCACGACAGCCGTTCTCAGCTGAGCTCCCGTCATCAACATCACCACCACCACCACAATCATGAACACCACCGCCATTGTCATTTTGCTGACGGCTCAACACCACAACCACCGAAGCCGGCTTGTTCTGCCATTCCCTCCATTCCCCCCCCCTCCCCCCCTCCCCCCTCCCCCCCCCCCCAGGTCCAGGTGGCCACAGACAAACACATCGCGGAGGTGGATGCGCTGCTCCGGGCCAAAGAAACGGAACTTCGGGAGAAGCACTGAAGGGAGGGGAGGGGGGGGGGCGCGAGGGGTGGGGGGAGGTGTGGGAGGGATTGTGCCCGTGCGGTGTGGGAGGGCGGTAGGGGCGGAGGGGAGTCCGACCTGACCAGTCCGCCCGGCCTGACGGCAATCGCTGGATCATGGCTGGTGGGCGAATGCAGTCCGGGGTCATGGGGACTCCAGTTCGCTGTTTGTGCCTATGTATGTATGTATGTGTGTGGGGCGAAGCGGGGGGAATATTTGCGGAGCGCGGGGCAGGGCGCACCGTGTATCGTAATCGGTTGCAATCGGTTACGGCGGGGAGCAGCGGGGCCGGGTATCGCGACACGGGAGTTGGCGGGGGGCCCCCGGGGTGGCTGCTGCTGGTGGTGGCGGCTGTAGCTGCAGTGCCCCCTCTTGGCATCTCGTAACTACTCCTTGCAGTTGAGGTGGGGAGGAGGAGGAAGCGGGAGAGGAATAGCAATGGCAATCTATCGCACAGGCATATGCGTTACAAACACCGGCAAACCCTTCGGGAGTTTCGGGTCGTACTGGAACTCACGAAAACAGAAAAAGAGTTCCCGAAGCCGACCCGCTTTTGCAGCAATAGAGGACCATCCGCCAGCCATCCCACACAAAAGCTCCTCTGCGGCCTGAAGGGCCGCCCGACAGCCAGAGCCGGCAGTCAATGATGCAGGTTGACGTTTTTTTTCGGTTGACTTCGGCGGTGTGGTTCGTTAGCAGCTGGGGCCACAGCAACGTCCCGCGATGTGGGTGGATGTTGGCGGTTGACAGGTATTGATTAGCAATTATCTAACTGAGTCTCAAAACGCAGTGTATTACAACCGCTCGCTATGTGTACTTTACATAACTTATGTTCGCGTCAGGACGTCTCTAAAGCCCAACAGCCGTCAAACACCGACACGGCCAAGGCCGCCACCACCTGCACCCTCCGAACCCCCGCCCGCGCTGAGCCACCTCCTTCCCCGTCTCTCTGCCCCTTCTTCCCCTCCCCCTATATCGCGGTGGCCCGCCCCCACCCCAAAACACAAACCCCACATACATACATACATTACATACATACACAGGCGGACACACATTGCGTCATACGAAAATAGATGAGAGGTCACCACACAACTGTATATGTATGTATGTATGTGCCCCGGTATGCTGGTACTCTCTTTTCTTCCCCCGACTGCAGCCCCGTCAAACTACGCCTCTTCACGGGGACAACATACATCTAGCCATCTGACCACCTGGCTATCTAGGAACAAGCTTGATGGCAGCGAGATGACGCTCCCTGCAGCAGGCGGCAGTACCCCCTCCCCCTTTGACATTCAGGAACTGCTAGGCAGGGTATGTACGACCTAGTACTGTACGGTAGACATCCTCGACCAGGTGATATATTACATCATCTTCCTGGTGCCGTACTTCCTCCCTCCCTCCCGATGCTGCTCCTGCTATGCTGATTCGGAAGCCGGTGCCGCCACCCCTCCGGCAGCGGCAGCAGCCCCCGCACTTGTTGGAGCAGCAGCTATCGCTCCCGAGGTAACGCCATGGTCGTACGCATCCACAGCCGTTGTCTCCTGTGGTGCGGACGAGCCGTCCATCGCCTCATCCGCACCTGCTGCCGCCGTCGCCGTGCCCTCCTCCTCCTCCGCTGCCGATGCCGGCGGAGGCGGAGGCGGTGGCGGCGGCGCCAGTTTCGCCAGCTCCTTCGCCGCCTCCTTGTTGTGGGGCTCCAGAGCCAACACCGCCTAAGAGTTGGGGATTGAGGGGGGGTTGGTGAGTTGGGGGGAGGGACCCGGGAAGGAGGTGGGACATGTCAAATGTGCGTTTTTATGACCTCTCCATAGTCCCTCAAGAGCCCGTTCCCCTCCTCAACAACAACAACTCCCCAGCCCTCTACATACACACATACATACATACATACATACACAACCACATGCCTCTCAGTGTGTAGCGTGTGTGTTGCATCACATGCCCATACGTACAACACGCCCGACGCTGACCGGTAGACAGACAGACAAATAAGTAAACAGGGAGACAGACAGACAGACAGACACGCAGAAATCACCGCACCGGACCGCTTCACCGTCCGCTGTGCCACGCAGCCGTCTACCCACCTGCAGGTCTCCAACCGCCTCCGTCGGGCGCCCCGCCGCCGACCTAGCTGTCGCCCTCCGCAACAGCGCCTTCACGTTATTGGGCTCCACCTCCAACACCTGAGTGAGGGTGTGTGTGTGTATGTGTGTGTGTGAGGGACCCCCGGGGCCGAAGGGCGATACTGCTACAGCTGCTGCTACTGCCGTCGCTGCTATTACTGCTACAGCTGTTGCTACTGATAGGAACATCCACGCTAATGCTCCAAGCAGTATAGCGCACCACCGGGCCCAGCTACCCTCAAGGCCCCCAACCCCCCACCCCCTCTTCACCTTGCAGCAGTCCGCCTCCGCCTCCTCACACCGGCCCAACCGCAGTAACGCCAGCGACCGGTTGTTGGCTGCAGCCACCAGCCCCGGATCCAGATCCAGTGCGGCCGTGTATCTGGCTACAGCCTCCGCCCAGTCCCCCGCCTTCACCGCCGCATTGCCCGCGTCCTTCTCTACCTCAGCTGGGGTAAGCTCTCGAACCTGGGGTGGGTGGGTGAGGGAGGTTGTGAGGGAGGTTGTGAGGGAGGTCAGTCAGCATAGCAGGCTGTGGTCGAGAGGCTCGGTAGTAGCTCCCCTCCCCACACCCCCACGCACCCCCCCTCTCTCTATATCAGCATCTTACCGTAGCGGTTGGGGGCTTTGACTGCTGCTGTCTCTGTTGTTGCTGTTGTTTCATGGCCGCCAGGAAGTCCGCGGCCCTGTCCCCCCGCCGCATCCTGCTGGCCGCCTGCGCCCCCGCCGCCCGCACCCAGGCTGCCGAGGAGCTGACCTCGGACAGACGGAGGGACAGACGAACAAAGGAGTCGTCGTTGTCGAACAACCGGCCCAGGAAGGCGTCACCGCGGACCTGAGGGGGCCGGGGTGGGGGCGGGTGAAGGGGGGCCGTCATGCGGGCCGTGTGTGTTTTATGAGCGGGCCTGAGGGAGGGAGCGGCAGCTGCCGACCACCAACCCCGGGTCCACCCACCGCAAAGATCTACCCCCCCCACCACCACATACCTCCGGGGCCTCATGCAGGGAAATGAGCGCGTCTCCTCACCTGCCCCCCTGCTTGCTCCCATCCACACTCACATACAAACACACATACAAACACACATACATACACACATACATACATACACACACACATACATACATACACACACACATACATACACACATACATACACACATACATACATACATACATACACACACATACACACATACATACATACACACATACATACATACATACATACACACAAACATACATACATACACACATACATACATACACACACAAACATACATATATACATATATACATACATACATACATACATACATCTGACCCGGGGGCGGAGTGCATGAGACTAACCAGCCGTATGCACCCGCCCCCCGCGCTGTGCTTCGGCCCTGGGCCCCCGGCTTTTCAGCCCACAGTGTAATCAACGTCATACACACATACATACACACACATACATACACACACATACATACATACACACATACATACATACACACATACATACATACACACATACATACATACATACACACATACATACACACATACATACACACAAACATACATACATACATACACACATACATACATACATACATACAAACAACACAAACCTGAGTGGGTCTCCCGCAGCAGTCAGCAATCTGGGAGGCTCGTGAGTTGTACGGCAGCTCCTTAAATACGGCCTGGTCGTCGCAGTACAAGTTGACTCCCACGTATCCACTCTCCGGGTTATTGATCTGTAGGGCCACTGTCTCCACCTGCGTGTGGAAGGGCGGGCGTTGGAGCGGGGGACATAACCACCCGGCACGTACCAACCAGGTTGGAGCCCCCGGGGGGTGTAGGGCTGCACGAACCGGGGTTATTTCCCCCACCTCGCTTTACTTTTCCCCCACACACCCCCTTTTCAGGCGCCCTTGGTAAGAGGGTGCTGCTGCTGCAGCTGCTGCTGCCGGGTGCTGTCGTACCACGTATAACCCCCTCCCCCCTTCCTGAACACCCGCTGGTGGCTCCCTCCCTCAGGGGGAGGCAGACAAAGGAACACTACTCCCTGCCCCCCTCTGATCACTGCGGCCCCGGACCAGCCCCTCCCGTGCTGGTGGGGCCGGCGGGCGGGCTCGCACCCACAATCTGCATGTCCAGTGCTGCTGCCAACATTTCGTCGCTCAGCTTGGCAGCCGCCTCTGTCCCGACCTGATCAACGAGGTGCTGAGGAGGGGTGGCAGAGGGGGGGGAAAGGGGTTGGAAAGGGGGTAAGAATTTGCAAAATACATCGCATGTGTAAGCGTCTTTCAAGCGAAGCTCACGGCATGTACCACCTTCGGCTTCACCTTCGTTATCATATGGCCGCAGCGTCTTCTAAGCTTTAAAGGTTACCCTTATAGAGTGAAGAAAGATACCGGCGAAAAATGAAGCAGCATCTATTTAGCCGCATTACCTGCCGATGCGCCTGCTGCTGGGCGGCGGTCTTCTTTCCCCCCGTGCGCTTGAAATGTTCTTTGAGAGTGTCAAGCAGGCATTCCACCTCTCGGCCCGGGGGAACGTTGAGTTCCAGCTCTTGTATGTTTTCATTGCTGCACCCATGCAGGCGACCGGGAAGGGCGGAGTTTCTCGGGATTGAGAAAGCCTTGCCTTGCAGCAGGCGATGCAAATGTTTTGGGAAAGAATGTGCTGGTCTCCTTACACGTCCGCTGGAATGTATATGTAGTGCACGATTGGGGCTTGGGCCGGCACCGAGACAGTCATTTTGCGGCACAATCCCTGTGCAGTGTTTGTTCGATAATCGAGAGAAGAATTGCTAGAATCGCTAAATATATAACGATATGCAGTTGCGAAACACGAATTTTGCCTTGTTTGGCGTGCGGACTGTGATAAATTTACCAGCCAAAGCAAAGCAGGAAGCGATAAGTCTGAAAGCTTGTATGAAAGCGCACATTGCCACAAGTTTGGTTTACGCTTCCAAAATGTCACTCACTATAACGACGTTTCCAGAAACTAGTAAGGGTACGGATGTCCGTTGGCTCGGGGAACCGTTTTTGTTCAAACGATAGTTAGGTTCGCGCTTTCTTGCAGCTCGGGCGCAGCTCTTCGCATGCAGCATCATCGTTTGCATGATAATCTGTCAATCTAACTGCATAAGATACAATATAAGATACAGTGTAATCGCAGGAGATGTAGGCAGAATTTCCTCACAGACTTGTCACAGTTCTGCAAAGCGATATAGAGGTAGTAATTGTTGTGGTTAATTCGAGTAGTTAAAGTTCATTCGGTCAGACCATCTGGTGAATCCGATACCTTGTTGTTACGACAAGGATCTGTACGACACTGTTTATATCTGTGTGTGACAGAAGGTGAATCCTTTAGCTGTCTAACGGTATGTGCGAAAGACGCTCGAGTAGACGACTTAGAAGCGGTACGCATTAGGGTTATCAGCTCAGGATTACTGCAGGTTATGAGCCCCGACCATAGGTGACGGGATGGAAGCAACCACTACGCGGCTGGTGTACAGCGAAAGGCTGACACTGAAGAACCGAACAGTGTGGCTGATTAGGTCGAAGGCCGCGATCATGGCCGCGAAGGCAGGAGCGGCCCTGTTGAAGGCGCGGGATGATAAAAATGGCGCCGAGCACGACTTGGCGTGCGCTGTCCTCGTTAACCTCCTTAACGACGACGATCTCGATCTCTTGGACGAAAATCAAGACGTCATCAATCTATATGCGGCTATAGATGCGCGCTACAAGAAGATGATGGCGGTCCGGAAACCAATTCTCTGGAGAGAACTTCATAGCATCCAAATGAGGCCTGAGGAGAGCTTGAGGAGCTTCATCAGTCGTTTGAAGGAGATAGTCCAGGAACTTAAGCAGTGTGGAGAGACGGTTTCGGATGCAAACGCTGTCTGCCAGGCGTTGGAGGGGCTGCGATCTACCTACAAGCCTTACACCAACGCCTTTTTCGTCAGTGGAACGCCATCTAACCTCTCCGATCTCGAGTCCAAGCTTTTGCTGGTCGAGCAACAAATAGAGACGTCTACGTCGCTCTACACCGGCAGGGGGCGTACTAACGATTACCGCGGCAACAGACGCAACAATGTCGCCAGTACCAGCAAGATCGACGGTGATGGCGAGTTCAAGGGTCGCTGCTATAACTGCGGGGAGAGAGGACACCGCAAGTCGGAATGCAAGCAGTAGAAGACATTAACGGACAAGCCTTTGTTAAAACCAACAAAGCGCCGGACCCCAGCCGGGTCCTATTACTGTGGTTACCATTCTCTGGTATATGGGTGTCGATCATTTCCAACGGCCTTTCTGTACCCACTGCAAGAAGACAGGCCATTCACTTGCTCAAGTGCTGGATTGCACCCAAGGAATTGGAGTGCAAGGAAGACGAGGAAGACTTCCCGAGGGATGGCCTGATCTTTATGGTCCTGCCACGGGATCAGGTCATGGCAGAGCAAGTCGAGCCGCATATGGAGGTGGTGGTATCGACTGCTACAGAGGACTCCGAATTGCAGGTGAAAGGTGAGGTCGAGATCTGGGAACCGACCGGAGACCTGCCATTTGACAATTTGGAGCAAGAACCATGGGAATGGGAGATACCGCAGGCTGATGCTGCATTGGCGGCGGTTAAGCCGCAATTCGAGGTACCGCAGGATGAGACTGCGGTGGCGGCGAGTAAGCTGCAAGTTGAAGTACCACAGGCGGAGGATACAGTGGCGGTGGATAAGCCGCTATGTGAGGAGTTGGTTACGGTATCTGGTCTCACCCTGAAGATTGATTATGGAGGTAAATTTACCGTCCAAAGGGATAGGTCGAAATGGACCTGTCTGCCCATAAACTACTCCGGGGATTATGGATAAATAATAGAGGATGAGGAGCATGTGGGAGCCTTGCCAGGTGGAGAAATTAGCGTTGGAAACTCGGGCGCTGGTGTATCTGGTGTATCCGGCTCTGGCTTAAATGATGGGAGCTCTGGCTCCGGTGGGGATGAGGTGGCCTCTGGTGGATTGTATCTTGAGAGGGCGGCTTGTGGAAGCAAGCCATGGACGAAGAAATGGCGTCACTGCATGCGAACCGTGTCTTGGTGCTGGATCTTCCTCGAAAAGGTGTCCGTGTGTTACCTGTGAAGTGGGTCTATACCCTGAAGCGCGGTACAAAAAGTGAAATCGTGCGCTATAAGGCGCGTTTGGTTGCCAAAGGCTTTGCCCAGGTGGAGGGTAGGGATTTTGATGAGGTCTTTGCACCGGTCAGCAAGAGCACTACCTTCCGGACACTATTGTCTGTGGTGGCAGTCGATGATCTTGAGTTGCACCAATTGGATGTGAAAACGGCCTTCCTGAATGGAATTTTGGAGGAGGAGGTGTACGTGCAGCAACCACCGGGATATGCTGAAGGCGACCCAAGCATGGCGTGCAAATTGGCGAAGTCGCTTTATGGGTATGGTATGCGCGTTTGCGGGAGGAGCTCAAACTTATGGGCTTAACCGTTTCACAGGCTGACCCAGGTTTATTCTTTAAAGATGTGGAAGGAGGGCGCGTGTTTATTCTTGTTTATGTTGACGATTTACGGATTGCTGCGAAGGATTTGGCCTTAGTCGATAACGTCAAGGCAAGACTAAAGTTGGCGTTCGATATCTGAGATCTTGGAGAGGCCCGGGTGCTTTTGGGCTACGAAATAGAGCGGAGAGAACGTTGAAGCTGACGCAACAACGTTTCTCAACAGAGTTGGTGGTGAAATTCGGGTTGATAGAGGCAAATCCTCGGAAAGTTCCGCTGTCCAAGGCCATGCATGCTGAGGGAAAGCCTCTGGACGTACGGCAAAATCCTTATGGTGAGCTGATAGGCAGTCTGTTGTATCTGTCTGTGGGCACTAGGCCTGATATTGCATATTCCGTGGGAGCTTTGCTGCGCCACATGTCTAAGCCTACGGTTGAGCACTGGCAGGCTGCAAAGGGTGTTGTTCGCTATTTGGTGGGTACAACAATAGTCCGAGTCGCAGTAGCCATGAAGACCACCTGCACCAGACTTCCCGGAGTACACAATGCCTACTCCAGTTGTACCCACCAAATAGCGAAAACAGATACAGAAGGTCTGACCGAATGAACAATATCTACACGAATGTTGTTCACAACACAAGGGGGGATGTTTCCAGTTGAGTGCACACTATCTTCGGTACACTATGGGCTAGAGTGGACTTAGTGAAGTGCTACTGTGACGGTGTTTCCACTAGGTGCACTAAGGAGCGCCGAAACCAAAATCGTGTTCGTATTTTGCATGTTTTAGCGCCACATAATAATTGCTGCTAATTATCAAGGTCTGTAAGGAAAATATGGATGTTAGGCTCAGAGGGATGCAAAGATTAGGGATTGGGTTCGGGTACCGGTCAGGCAGGAATTAGGATTCGGAAAGAGGGGCCGGATTAGGATACAAAGTTGTTGCCAGGTTTAGGATGAGAACCCCGAGTCTAGGATTAGGATTGGGACCTCACCCACAGGATTAGGATGAATACCCCATATCCAGGATTAGAGGATTAGGACCACTTTGCATCCCTCTGGTAGGCTTTTCCGTTCGAACGCGGGCTCCATTACAAATTGGCGGCCTTCTGAGGCTGTCGGTGTTGGGCATGCGCAAGTCAACGCGGCGTTTGCAGGAAGGAAAAAAGATAGCTGCTCATGTCAAAGGCCTGTGGTCAGAAGGCATAAACCAGCTCCTAAAAGTTGCCCGCCAAAGAATTAGTGCTAGGATAGAAGGGTAATGGCAGGTCTGAGGTCCAATTAACTTTGTGACGCGCTAGTGTGGACTTAGTGTACGGGGTGTTTCCACTAGGCCTTACGGTTCTCCGCCAGGAGTGCGCCAACCTCCAATTTGTTTCAACGAATATTTGTTTCTACCATTGTTATATCCAAATATGCATTTAGGACGGTGAGAGACGAGTCTAGGATGAAGAACATTCGAACATAGTGTTAGTGTTCGGCCAAGTGGAAACACCCTGTATCAGACACCAGTGGTTAGAAACCACCATTGGGTCTCGCGTGAGCAGCGAGTTCTCTCCTAGGCCATCTCTTCGTGTCTGCAGTGTAAGGCCCACTCCCAGCCAGCAGAGTGCCGTCTTGCCATTTGCCCCGGTCTGGAGCCAGCAACAGGAGCCGTACATGACGTGTCTGCTGTGCGCCATGGTCTACCCATTTGTCCATGTATTGATCTGCCTTAACTAACTGTTGAAGCCATCGAATCAGCTCTCTAACCGCCAGTCATGCACCGTCCTCCAGGCTCCAACAATCGACATGCCTCCATACTCACAGGCTTTCAAGCTCACTGCTGCTGACATGACCTGGATCACATGTGTACATTTGGTGATCCCTTAATAAGCCTCCGCTCTGCTGGTGAAGTCATTCTGCCAACTTCCTCAAAGCCTTGTCATTCACTAACTCCCCCACCCCCTTCTTCCCGCCCTCCTCCTTCGCTGCTGTCGGCTGCAGCTTTTCACGGGGTTGGGGGTGTTCAGATTCCTCGGCGGCTCCAGGGGGGGATCTCCAGCGAGTTGCACTCTCATGTTCTCAGCGGCTGCTGCTTTGTCACTAGGCTGTCCTTTGTTTTTATAGTGGGTCTTGGTGGGTTGTGATCGTGTTTGCCGCTCGGCTGGGTATGCTCGTGTGTGCTGCTTAGTGCGTTGCTGTGTTGTACCAGGGGGCTGGGTTGTGTCACACCTGCGTGTTGCATTGTTGTGGGTGTGCATGGCTGTATGCTGGTGTGTGTGTTTTGGTTTCCACCAAAGGCGGCCGTGGTGGGTGGCGGTGTTGCCAGCCAGCCAGCATGTGGTTGTACGGCTGTTTGGCTCTTCTGATTTGTAATGGCTGATTGGCAGCTGCCGGTCCCCGTAACCCTCGTTGGCATGTACGGCACATGTCGCTCAGACACCCGCTAAGGATACCTAATACGATTAAGGGAGGTCATGGTAGAGCACAAGAGCACAAAACTGTCAATGTCAACTGACAACCTAACAACCGCCATTACGATATAGTAATCATTAATACCATCACCACATAATCATCTCATCAGCAACAGCAGCCACCTCGACTGTTATCATTACCACTACCATTACTCCCCTCCTCCCTTATTGATAAGACCTACGTGAGAGACATGATCAAAGAAACAACCAAATTATATAATATCAAATTTGAAATTCAAATTGAGAGAGCAGATGAGGACTACCCTGCCGTCGCCTCTGCTGCCGCTGCCACCAGTTTCGTGTGCCCCTCAGGGAAGGTCCAGCGGCACACCGGGCAGGTGGTGTGGGAGGCCAGCCAGGGGCGAATGCAGTCGGAACAGAAGGCGTGTGTACACGGCAGCGTGGTGATGGAGGTGCGGCCAGGAGTAAAGCGCTCCAAACACACATGGCACTGCTGGGAAGCGTCTGAGCGCTGGGCAGTGCGCTGGAGGGGCGGGTTAAGGGGGGTGAAGGGAAGGGAGGGGAGGGGAGGGGGGATGTTCAGTAGAGTTTTGGATGGAGAAGTAAGGGAATGCGTCCTCCTATCCCCACCTCACAACCCCGCATGCATCGTTGTATGTATGTATGTAAGGGGAGGGAGACATTAGCCACCAACGAAAAAGTGATATCATACAAATGCATGACATCCCCAACTTGAATGTAATGCTCTCAAAACAGAAAACAATTTCACCCATGTTCGGTTGTGGTGCGGTTAGGTGGTTATCACCAACAATCATAAACTGTCAACCACCTCCTATCATTATCACCACACAATACCATACCTCTGTTGTGGCCCCTTTCCCTCCAGACATACATACATAGATACTTAGGTACATGGATACATACATACGTACATACATACACCCCCTCCTGCCCTCCCCCACCTTGGGCAGCCCCCGAATTACTTCTGGACGAACCACCCGCTGCAAGGCCCCGGCATCCAGAGACAGCAACTGCTCGTAGTCATATGGCAGAGTTGACCGACCGCCTTCACTGGCGGCGCCAGGAGTGTAAGGCCGCAGGAATATGCCGCCGCCGCCGCTGCTGCCACTGCCACTGCCACCCCGGCCTAAACGGTCCATTCTATCCCAGCTCATGGACAGGGCCAGTTCTACGGGGAGGTGGTGAAGCGGGAGACCGCTGCCCACACCCGCTGCTCTGTCGGCAGCTTGAGTGCGGAGTGACGTCCCCGGTGGTGCAGCTCTGCTCCCCCCCGTGCTCACCCCCCTGGACGTGAGCTGGTGAGCGTCGCGGAGCCACATGTGAGCCTTTCGCCGTGGCGGGTTTGGCAGGTTGGCGGGTTGGAATGGGGTGAAGGGGCGAATGATGGGATCATGGTACGACATATTACTATCAGCACTCCTTGCCACCATATAACTAATGCATTGTAAAGCTGTTTGTGTGTACGGGCGTGAGCTGGTGAGCAATGTTGTGACATTGTGGCAATGTGGCAATGTTGCATTCCCGACCCTAAGCCCACTTCCTGACAAACACACATGCAGCCAGAGACACCCACCCTCCCACACCCACACTCGTCACTCACGCACGCACCAGGTCCAGGATGTCGAGCCCCTCGTCCCTGCCCATAAGGCCCAGGGAGGTCGACAAGCTGTGGGACCGGGAGTGAGATCGGAGGGGCGGCAGCGGCAGCGACCAGTGCCCCGTGCCGCCATTCTCCATCCGACCACTACCACCGCTGCCACTGCGGAAGCCCGGGCCTGCTGCTGCTGCTGCCGTCGACAGGGGCGGCAGGGCGCGAGCACTGCTAGTGCTACTGCCGCTGGGGGTGGGTGCTACTGCGGCTGTTACTGCTACTGCCTGCTGCTCCTGTAGTACCCTGTTTGCCAGCTGGTCGAAGGGCATGTCCCGGAGCTCCCGCATGGAGATGGAGCGAGTTCCGCCACCCCCTGAGGAAGGAGGGGGAGGAGGAGGAAGGAGGGGGAGCAGGTGGGAGGAGGAGGGAGAGGATGGGGAGGATGGGGAGGAGGGAGGGTGGGAGAGTGGGCGGAGGGAGGGGAAAGTGTGACATATGATTTCTTCGTGGTGCTGAGAATTGGCGGGGATCGTGAAATGGAGTTTGACTTGCGATAACGGCAGCAGCGGCAGCAGCTCTTCCCGCCACCTGGGCATGGGACGGACCTGGGCCTGGGCGGCTGTATGAAGTCGACATAATCCCCAAGTGCTCTGATGGGGCGCAATGCTGTCGCGGCCTCTGGAGGCTGCCGCTGAGCGAATCGAAGCCCGAATGCCACAGCCCTACGAGCCGATCACGGGGCTCCAGGCACGGGGCTGCAGGCACCAGATGTAAATATATATGTTAAAATGTCTTATGTATCTGTGTCTGGCATTGCGGGGTAGCGCTTGAGAGACGGACGAGTCGTGCCGTGGGATGTTTCGAGAGCACCTGCGATTAAGTCAGCTAGGTGCAGTCGTGAGACAAGAAAACTCTAACTCTATGCGCAAGTATTATGATTATGGTTGCGGATGGGCGAGTGATGGCCCCTAACGATGCGCACAGAGCCCCTCGTACGACGTCTGTGAGGCGTCTTGTCACTGGAAAAAAAGATGTCGCTTTTGTAAATAAGCTGTGCGCACCTTAAAGGGAGAATGTGGTGAGGTTTTCAGATTCGGGATGTTAGAGGAAAGCACTTCTTCGTTCGCAGCTTGCAGTAGCCATTTGGCCGTGCCATCGCTCCAAGATTAATTTAGTGGTCTCTAATAATGAACTGTGATCGTTATGTTATTGGAATTGACGGCGGCACGGAGAGCTTGCGCGCAGCAGTATTCGATTGTCATGGTGAGTCCATAAGTTTAGCAGTGGTAAGGTGATAAGAGGGCATCCAGTCGATCAACCATAATCTTGTAGACCCATCGATGTACAAATAACCAAAATAGATCTCTTGCTTTGGTCACTACACGCAACGACAAAATGGCTGACTGAGGCTCCTGAACCAGGGTCATTCTATGCAAAAGCCATGCTTTTACTCATCACCATAATACCTTAACCTTCAATCTATCCTCCTGCATACTTTACCTGTTGTTTTTTCACATGTGCTCTCTCATGCCCCCTCTCCCGCCCGGGCAACCCCTGCACACGCACATCCTATCCTAATCGCCAACACATGGCACCTGGTCAGGCCGCATCCTGGGATCCCATGCCTCGCCTTATGAGACCCAGTACCCCCAGCCGGGTTGGGCCGAACAGCGCCCGGAGGACTGGTGGCGGGCGCTGGGTGAGGCGGTGCGGGGCGCGGTGGCGGCTGCGGCGGTGGCCCCCGACCGCGTAGCCGCCCTGTGTTTGGACACCACCTGCTGTACCGTGGTGGCGCTGGGGCCCGGTGAGATGGGCCGGTGGGGGTGAGAGCAGGGAACAGAGGAGGGAGGACAGGGCATGGGGTAGGAAAGGGGGCTAGGGGGGTGGGGAAGGGATTGTGATGGAGATGTGCCCACGGTGTGGTGTGGTTGGTGTGGTGTGTGGGGGGGTAGGGGGGAGAGGGGGGAGGAGGTGGGGCGATGGTGGAGGGGGAGAGAGGTCAGGTTCAGTTGCGGGTTCCAGAAGGTGACGGAGGGGGCGGGGGCGGGGGGCTGGTCCGGACGTGGGCTCCCTCAGCAGCCCACCCTAATGGACGTAGGAGTTAGCTGATTTCCCTTTTAGGCATTTTGGAATTATCATTATCATCATTTTTCACTTTATTACTATTATTAATATAGTTTTATTTTTATTTTATTACTATTGTTATTATCACCATCATCAGGACAGTGACCCCATCTTCTGCCAGTTTCTTTCCCTTCTTTCCTTTCCTGACCTGACCTGTGTACTCGAGGGTGTCCCTGCCGGTGTGATACTTGCTGTCTCCCCCTCCCCCTCCCCCTTCAGACGGCACACCCCTCCGCCCCGCCCTGCTGTGGATGGACATGCGGTCGGCTGAGCAGTCCGCCCGGGTGGCGGCCACCGGGGATGTGGCGCTGCAGGTGGCGGGGAACAGGGGGGAGATGTGTGTGTTGGGGGGGGGAGACTCTGGCGGGATGGGAGGAACCGTGTGTGTATGTGTGTATGTGTGTATGTATGGCTGGGGGAGAGGGGTATGACGGGATGGATGGGGGAAGGCGAGCGGGGCGGCGAAGAAGACATGGGTTGGTGATTCAGCAGGTGTAGGAGGGAGGCGGGCACTTGGAGGGCTCGTGCGGGCACTTGTCGTCTCCCTCCGTCTTCCCAAGTTTTACTCTTTCAACAGCCACTTTAGGATGACCGATACCACTCGTGTTCGGTAAAGCCCGGGTTAGTACTTAGTTTAAGCTCGCTAATTAAGGATTTGGTATTTCATATTCCTTTGAATTCGGAGCTTTAATTTAAAATAGTTGAGATTTAATTTTACATTTAGTAAAATAAATTAATTATTAAATGGAGATGACTATTCTTTGCCCTGTAGAGAATTTGCCAAGCATCCTACCCCCCTTTCCCCCCACCCCACCCCTCCCCACCCCACCCTAGGTAAACAACGGCGGCTCTGGTCCCGTATCCGCGGAGTGGATGGTTCCCAAGGCTCTGTGGCTGTCCGAGCGGGAGCCCGCCGTGTACCGCTCCGCCGCCACCATCTGCGAGTACCAGGACTACCTCAACCTGCGGCTCACCGGCCGGAGGTGCGCCTCCGCCAACAACATGGCGGTGAGGTGGCACTGCTGCAGGAAGAGGGGTGAGAGGGGAGGGGAGAGGGGGAGGAGGCGAGAGGAATAGAGGGGGGGCGGTCCAGGCGGTGTGTGAAGAGGGAGCTGGTAGAGCACCTGTTAGGACACGGGCTCCCCCCGGGCCCCTTTTGAGTCCGGTAGCAGTTTGCGCACATCGGCGTCAGTCAGTCGGCAGGTGACCCCTCTTTGCGTCTCCTTCTCCTTCGTACCGCATCATCACTATCATTAGCATCACATGATTCCCCAGGACCGCCAATTTCGTTGCTGGAGAAGCTGGGTATTCCCGATCTGGTGGACAAGTGGCCCTGTGGCTTCGGATCTGGATCCGAATCCGGTGCCGTACTGGCCCCTGGCGAGCTGGTGGGCGGCCTCACAGCCAGTGCGGCGGCCCACTTGGCGCTACCGGCGGGTACTCCGGTCGCTCAAGGGGGGGCGGACGCCTTCATTGGCATGATCGGACTGGGGGTTGTGGAGCCGGGTCAGATGGCCCTGCTGACAGGTGCGTGTGTGTGTGCGTGTGCGTGTGTGTGTGTGTTGGGGGTATGATAGGGGGTTTGGGGGGAAAACGTATGTGGTGCTGGGGGTGGCTGGAACCCCCTGGGGCCCACAGCCACCCCGGACACCTTAAGGACCACATATCAAATAGACAGGCATGCAGACAGACAGACAGACAGACAAGCATGCAGACAGACAATGTAATCAACGTCATACATACAGACGGACCGATAGACAGACAGGCAGACAGGCAGACAGACGCGCATACAGACACACACCGAAACCAAACCCTAGCAGTAACCCGCTAATCGCCCCCCGGCCCCCTTCAGGCTCCTCCCACTTGCAGCTGGGGATTGTGGGTTCGGAGCTGCACGGCACGGGGTTCTTCGGTACGTACGAGGATGCCGTACTACCTGGGTGCCACGTCATCGAGGGCGGTCAGACGTCCACGGGCAGCATCTTAGCCTGGTTCAGGTGGGTTTGGGGTGTGTGTGTGTGGAGGTGGGGGGGGAAGGAGGTGGGGGGGAGGTGGATTCTGTGGGGAAGCTGTGCTTGAGAGATATTCCCATGTTCCCCCCTCAAAACCTGTTTCACCGACGCAACCGTTACCCGCATAACATTAACGCAGGCGCACGTGTTGCCCCCACGGTGTGTCGTACTCGGATCTGGATCGAGAAGCTGCCGAGGTTCCCCCGGGCTGCGAGGGGCTGCTGGCACTGGACCACTTCCAGGTGGGGCCTTGGATGTGTATGTATGTATGTATGTATGTATGTATGTATGTATGTATGTATGTATGTATGTATGTATGTATGTATGTATGTATGTATGTATGTATGTATGTATGTATGTATGTATGTATGTATGTATGCATGTATGTATGTATGTATGTATGTATGTATGACTTAGATTACACTGTGGGCCGCGAGAGCCGGGGGCCGAAGCCGAAACACAGCGCAAGGGTCGGGAGCACACAGCACAAGTCGGTTAGTCTTGTGTGCTCCCGACCCCGACTCAGACTGCCAACACTCTACGCAGCCACTCCGCAGCCCCTCCATCAGGGGATGGCGCTGCAGTGAAAACACCACGAAGGGCTCTCAGGTCCCGCTAGAGCGAGTCCACAAGTCTCAGCTAGGGCAAAAAAATGTACGTATGTACGTATATTGTTAATGCCCTCTCCCCCCTCCCCCCGATATCTGTGCCAGGGCAACCGTACCCCGCACACGGACGCTCTGTCGCGGGGGGCACTTGTGGGCCTTACACTCAAACACGGCAGGGCGCATGTGTTCCGAGCCCTCATGGAGTCCGTGGCGGCGGGTGAGAAAGGGGGGGAGAGGGAGGGCGGGGCCGCGTGGCGTTGGCGGGGCGGGAGGGGAAGAGAGGACAGAAGAGAGCGGAGGAGGTGGGAGGGCGGCATCCGGCGGCTCTATTTCGGGCTTCTAGGGTTGTTGGGGTTGTGGGGCCCGGGGTCTCCGGCTCCTTGTCCCGGTGCTGCTGTGTCTCAGAGAGGGGTACATACACCTCGTTGACCTACACCCCCCTCCCCCTGCTACCCCCCCTCCCCCCCCCTCAGGCACCTCCCTCATCCTCCGCACCATGGCCCTCCGCGGCTACCGGCCCTCCAGCGTCACGC